GTCCTTCTCCTTCTTCTTCTCTTTTCTTCTTTTCTCTCTCCCAAAAATTATTAAAGACAGAGAAACCGTCCAGAAAAAAAATTAAAAAAAAAAAAAAAAGAAAGAAAAGTGAGGAAACCCTAAGCACTGGGGAAGGCTTGCAGTTTGGGACAGAGGGGGGCACCGTGCCCTGCAGGGTGGGACAATAGTTCTTGCTTGCTCTGCTGCTAATATGCAGCTCCATCCCTGGTCGTCTGGCTCGGGGAAAAGAGGAAAAAAAAACCCCAAAAACAATAGAGCAAAAAAAATTCCAAAACCTAAGAGGAATGAAAAAAGGAGAGGGGAAAAGAGGAAGGAAGAAAGAAGACACATGAAATTAAAAAACGCCCCCCCCCCAAAAAAAAAAAAAAAAGGGAAAAGAGGAAAAAAAAACCCCAAAAACAATAGAGCAAAAAAAATTCCAAAACCTAAGAGGAATGAAAAAAGGAGAGGGGAAAAGAGGAAGGAAGAAAGAAGACACATGAAATTAAAAAACGCCCCCCCCCAAAAAAAAAAAGACACAAAAAATATAAAACCCAAACCAACCCTCACAACCATGCGTGAAGATGACAAATTGAAAAATATACATACCTCGCTGTGCCCGGGAGCACGTTTAGCATGCACTTGTGGCTGGGGAGAGGTTTGGGGGAGCCTGCTATGTCTTCATAGCGGGCAGGAAATGTGTACGAGTTTCTGAAAACAAAGGGGAAACTTAAAAGGCTGATACGGGTTTGGGGAGGTCTGGCCAGAGCCGAAGGGAGCGGCTGCAGCCCGGGCTGCTGCCCCCGGCACCGGCGGCGGGGCTCGGCCGTGCAGGGGCAGCCCCTCGCCCGCTGCGGAGCCCCGCCGGCAGCGGCAGCGGCAGCGGCACCGCCGGGCTCAGCAGCCGCTCCGCGCTCGGGGTCGGGCGAGAGCTCCTGCATTTTATTCTGTTTCGGTCCGGGCTGTTGTCACGTCTGTTTGTTTGTTGGGAGCTTGGTTTACCTTTGGGTTCGGGGTTTTTTCTGCCACCACCGGCCGGAACCCAAAGCCACCAGAGCAGCCAAGCCAGGTGGAGCAGAGCGGGGGCAGGTGAAGGCAGAGCCCTGAGCTGCCCTCCAGTTGCGGGTGCGGGGGGCAAAGCACAGCGTGTTTTATGGACGGACCCTCAAATTTTTTGGCTTGAGAAGACAGAGTAATTCCCAGGGAAATCAATCCGTCTTTTCAGGGGGTCCGCAGGAAGAGTTAGGAGAGGATTTCATTATTATTAATAAAGATAAAAATTAAACCCACACCTCCATGCTGCTTTTCACGGTATAGAGGAAGAATCACACCACGGCAGGACAGCCGGCCGAGCGGGGCTGCCACAGCTGGGCACGGGATGCCGACACCGGGCAGCGCCGTGCCTCCCGCTGCTCCCCGACGGCGCGGGCCGTGGGGCCGGGGGAGCCGGCAGCCGTCGGGGCAGAGACACCGGGGCTGCGGGCCGGGGCACCCGCTCGCTGTGCCCGGGCATCAGGGGTCTCTGGAATGCCAGGGCAGCCTCAGGCCTCCCTCCAGATTGGTTCCCAAGCTGTCTTCAGGGCCAGGGCAGGGAGGTTTGGCAAGTGCGGGTTCAGTGCAGGACACATTGCTGGGGAGAGGGAGGGGTTTGGGGTTGACGGTGTCCAGGTGGACAAAGGAGATGGGCAAACAGGAGGACTTCGGGGCCAGTGGGCCACCCTTGCACAAGGCTGTGAAGAGGGATCTTGGCTGCTCTACCCCCTAAAAAAACCGCAAGCCCTGAACCTGATGACTTCCCGCTCCCCTCTAAGCGTGGCAGGGCCGGGCCAGGGTCAGGGCACGAGGGAGGCGGGTGGAGAGGGGCTGCGGGAGGGATGCGCCAAGGCGAGGGTCAAGTTCAAGGCCAGCCTGGGTAGGACAGGGAGGGAGGGGGAGCTTACTCACTGCCACGGCCGCCACGGCCGCGTCCCTGGGCCTGCCGGAGGAGAGGCATCCCTGCCGGAGGGACTGCCGCTGTCCTTGCCGCTGCACTGCCTGCGCTTCGGCCGGAGGGAGGCCGCCTAGCCCCCTCAAGGACTCCCTGGGCTGCCCCAGGAACACAGAACGGCTCCGAGGGCAGGGAGAAGGGGAGCCCAGCTGCAGAGCGCTTCTCTCCGGTCGGAGATGAGCCCACCGGGGCGGGGGACGGCGGAGCGGGGTTGGTGGCCCTTGGGCAGGGCTGCTCGTGCGCCCCTGGGCCCGGGAGGGGATTTGGGCAGACGGTGGCTGGCAGGGACTGGCTCTGAAGCGGGATCCCGGTATGGTTTTTCAGCTGTGGGAAGGCCGGCAGGACAAGGAGGGATCCTCTCAGCTGCATTTCCCACGGATGTCTCCAAGGGGCAGGCGGCATATGCCAATGATTTTAATAAATTTTTTTTACGTAATATTATTACCGAACATAAATTATGTTTTAATAGCAGTTTGATTACCCGGGGAGCTGCCCGGTGCGCGGGGATGGCCGCTCAGGGAGGAGCACGGCCGCCGAGGAAGCTCCGGATCCGCTCCACATCTAAACTTCCTTGTCAGCGGCGGGACAGGGGGGAGGGGGTGCCTTTCCCTCCCTCCTCCCCTTCCCCTGGGTGTAGGTAACCCTCACCTCACCCCAGAAGTGAGCAGGGCCCCGTGTACCCTCATCTCCTCACCTAACTCCCTCACACCGGCCGGAGAGAGCTCTGTTGCTATTTGAACACACGGCACAAAGCCCGAAAAAGCCAAAGCGACGAGCGGCCCGGGGGGGCGTGGGCGATGGGCCCGGCCGGCTGCGAGGAGCAGAGGCTCTCCCGGGCTGCACAAGCTGCCGCTGAGGGCAGCGCAGCCACCGCAGGGCGCTCGGAGCCCGGCTCTCGGCGCTGCCTCTTCGCAGGGCGTATTTCGGTGCCTTGACAAGGCCGAACTTTTTCCACGGTTTCCCTGCCGCTGTCACAGTCGCCTTGCCTGTCCCTGTGCGGCGGGCTGTGCCCGCAGAGCTGCTGTCCGCCTGCCCTGCACCGGCGGCTCCGCCGGCAGGGCCCCGACGTGGAGCCAAACTCCGGGCCAGCATCCCGGGAAAGTCATCGCCCGCCTGCTCTCCATCCCTCCCTGAACATATCTGACAACACAAACTTCTCTCTGGGCTAAAATAAAGGAAAATAAAACAAATAAAATATAATTTTAAAAATAGAGACAGAGAAAGAGAGAGCCAAAAAACTCGAAGAGGAAATGTGAGCTCTCGGACATCACAACTTTCTCCTCTCCCGGTTGTATGGAGGCTGCCAAAAAGATGACAGCACCGGAGGCAAGGACCATCTATGGCTCAAAGCAGCCGAGCTCAGAGCCTTGTCATTGCCCCTCCACCTCCCGAAAGGCCCCTGTTTCTCAGCCTCTGGGGCAATGATCTCCCCAGCCAGACTCGCACCGGGGAGAGAGGGTGAGCCCGAGGAAGGCAGCAGCCGGAGGAAGATGTGCTTGCTCTCGCCGCGTAAATATCTTACTAAAGGAGATCCTGCCTTGAAAGTCATTTGGACAATATGCACACCTTCCCTCAGCCTTTTCTTTCAGCTCAGAAGCTTCACAAAGTTTTAGGGGGGTTTGTGGGTTTTTTTCTTTTTTTTCTTTTCTTTTTTTTTTTCCTTCTGGACGGGAGAGCCCAGCTAGAAGGAATCCTCCTCTTCCAGTAACCAGCGGAAGTTTTAAAAGCATTTGTTTTGCAGTCGCCGCTTATCACATACCTTATAGCAGGTTTTCGAGAGCCTTTGGCATAAAAAGGAAACAGCTCGTGCAGTTTCAACACGTTTTATTATATTTCTGTATGCATTACTCTCAAAACATATCACAAGAAATGATGAAACCACTTAAACCTTCAAATAAAAAATCTGAAACAGTTTATGCTCACAATTGTACATATTTATAGTTAAGAAACATTCTTTATAAATACTGTTTCCTCTGTAGCAAGTTAATACCATAATTTAATTACAAATGGATAAATATGGTAACAGGTATTTACAGGAGGAAGGGCGTTATTACGGAAAAGCTAACGGCACGACGTTTATTTTTCCTCACAATCTTCCGAACAGGAACTAACAAATTGAACTTGCAAAAGCACTAAAACATCACATGTAAACCCAGCTAACAGAAAAATACATTCACAAGCGTTGTTGTTCGTGTGTGTGTCTGTGAGTAACAGAATGGAGACTTTGGCACGGTATTTCTTCCCCAGTCTATAGTTGAAATGCAGTTTACAATCAAGTTGCTTCTTAAAAAGGAACACAATATTCAAGATATCACAATTACAAAAGAAACCATTTTTTTTTCTTCCACGTTACTTTTTTTAAAAGGGATGAACTAAAAAAGGAGAAGAGAAGGAAGTGGGGAGGGAGAGCGGGAGAAAAGAAAACAAGTCCATCACTTTCTCGGGGAAGGAGAAAGAGGGGAGAAAAAAGAAAGATTAAAAAAAAAAAAAAAGAAGAAGAAGAAGAAGAAGGGGACCAATCCGCGGTTTACAAACGGGACGAACTTCTATACACCGACAATCCAGGAAAACCTCGTTCCCCACCTCGCCGGAGGAAGGAGAGGGCCGCTATATACACAGTTCGTGGGACGGGAGGGCGCTGGCTGCTCCGGGCGGGGAGGCGCGGGGACCAGAGGAGTTTGAGTCTCTGATCTTTTGTCTGAAGACTCCGGAGGGAGAGTTTCTTTCCGCCGGCTTGGGAATCTTTTAGCTGGGTGATGTGTTGGTGGCGCATGGGGCTGTTTCTCTCTCTCTCTCTCTCTCTCTCTCTCTCTCCCCTTTCCGTTCCTCCGTTGATTTACTCATTTTCTTATGTTTTTTCAGCACGTAGTTTTTGGAAATTTTTTGCTGGTTCAAAATGTTTTCAAAAAGAAAAAATCCAACCAAAAAATAGAAAAAAAAAAAAAAAAAAAAAAAAAAGAAAAAAAAGGAAAAAAAAGACGCGAAGGCGGGAGACGGATGGGAAATGAAGGCCCCCTGTCCCCATCCTGCTCGGCCGTCATTTCGCTGCCGGCGGGTGCGGCGGCCTCTCCCGGCGCGTCTCCGGCGGGCTCGCTCGGTCCCTCGTGCCCGCCGCCACCGCCACCGCCGCCGCCGGGGCGGGCAGGGCGCGGCGGGGCCGTGCAGAGCAGTCCGGCGGGGCCCTACACGTACCACTCGTTGAAGTTGGACGAAAGGCCGCTGTGGCCGCCGCAGGGGACAGGTTGTTGGTGCTCTGCGACTCGGCGCTAGGGGACACCAGCCCCGGCGGGGTGGAGGACTCGTAGCCGGAGCTGGCGGCCGGGGAGGATTCGGAGCCTTGCGGGGACGACTCGTGCACCTGGGGGGCAAAGGCAACACGGCCGGGTGGAGGGGGGATGGCGAGGCCGCGGCCGCCCCCCGGGCGCGCCCCCCGCCGCCGGCCCGGCCCTCCGC